ACCGTGGAACCTGTGGACGATGCAAATATGCAGATTACTTGGCTATTGAACGGAGTACCTGTAAGTTTATTGCGTTCAATTTGCAGTTCATGCAGTGGATCAATTAGGATCGATTAATTGATCGGAATCGATTTTTAGATGCCGAACTCGTCCCGAGTGAAGACGATCAACGATTTCGGTTGGGTATAATGGATATCAACCAAGTCGAACCACGAGACACTGGCGAATGGACATGTGTGGCGTCGAATCCTGCCGGAGAAGCTCGATGCAGTGCTCCGCTCAATGTCACCAGCAGGGAAAATATCGGTAGGCGTAATTTCCCACAGTACCCCTTAGTAACTGTTTACACCCTTTTATTATGTACTGTTATAGTTCTCGACTCGTTGAATCCGCAATCACTTGACCGTATCCGCGAGATCGAAGCCGACAAACCAGCTGCACCCGAAGCACCTGCTCCAGTCTACCCAGCACCGAAATTCACTGCTCCTCTTACAGTACAGGGAGCGCTCGAAGAGGCTGGCAGTGCTCATCTTCAGGCTCAATTCACACCAATCGACGACCCGAACTTGAAGGTATCTCTCGTTATCATCAGTTATCAGCTCTTATCACCACTGACTATCTATACCTATCACCTTTCGGGGCTAGTAACGTATATCAGAATAACTTCATCAGTGACAGGCAGTGACCCCTTTGGGTTCCGGAAGAGGACAAGCTAAAGGCTGTTTTGCTTGGGAGGGGCATTTGCACTTTAACTAGTTCATGTTGAGTAATGGGTCGACCTTTGTGAGAACTTTAACCTTGTTGAGGTGCGTGGTAAGCGGCCCATGCTGGTGGTGAAAGAAGCAGTCACAGCTCTTCGACAAGACGGCCTTATGCAGCTTTCGCCCTGGACTACCAACTCTTGACCACCCCCCGAACCCGGAAACGCCGCCGAATTACCCTGATGATGAGAAAAATGGCGAGTACCTCACAAATACTAGTTTGATCTCAATCAGGTCGAATGGCTTCGCGACGGACATCCCATCTTCCACTCCAACCGCTACCGTATGGTGCACGATTTCGGTTTTGCCGTTTTGGACATTATTCACCTTCTCGCTCACGATACTGGAGAGTACACTTGCAGCCCGTTAAGTATTCACGTTTCAGCACCCTATCAGAGCGCTCACTAAGCCATTAGTGGGAAGTCATGCCTTACAGTTAAGAGACACGCCTACATGCAAAGTGGTCATTTGGGTTATTCATTGCTTCTCAGATTGTAAATGAAGCCGGTGAAGACACCACATCTGCACCGATCAAGGTCGCGCCAAGCAGCGGTCTCATCCTTCATCCTCAGGTAAGGTAGAGCGATTTGTTGGAAGTGAAAAGGCCTCGAAGGGTTAAATGGGAAATGGATATGGGCCAGGATATTGCGAACCCGCTCATTTTCCTTCTGTATAAGTTGAAGCACTTTAAGGAGACATTCCACGATGATCGGGTAGACGAGAGAGTGGATAAAGCGGTAAAGCCATAAACTAGTAATTTCCCCTTTGGCGTGCCCTCCTTCACGGCATTAGAGGGAGGACGCCATAGAAGGGGCCCACAGTATGTCACGAAGTCTTACAGTGAGGACAAAGAAGATTGGCGGGAGGACACGCGTCGGTTTGACCGTTTTCATGAGGTATGCTTGTGCTTGTCTGCGCCCTCTCACCGAAACAGTGTATGAAGTAGTTCCCCATGTTCCGAGCGGGACATCGAATGAGAAATGGGCCACACGCCATTCTAGAGCCGAATCGACCGCCGAGCACTGTCTCAGTGAGAGAGCGAAGAAGTGCAGATATGATGTGACATAGATTCGCCGTCTCGTGTCACCCTCCCCGGCAACCCTTGACCCTAACGGTTCGCCCATCCGCGAAGCATCTCAAAATTGGAGCGTCTTTATCCCCACGGGATTCTGTCTGTAACTCCAAATGTTTCAAATTTCAGAACGAACAGAAGGCAAAGGCTGTCTCAGACCTTGAAGAAGTCCTGCACCGTAAACCAGAAGAAGCTGTTGTGGAAGTCAAGGTTAATATCTGGCTTTCTTCTCTTACCCTAGAGAACTTGTGATTCTGTGATTTAGGAAGCAATGCCGGTATTCATCGAACCGCTCTCAGCTCCAGTTGAGTGCGATGAAGGTGATCGAGCTCACTTCACGGCGAGATACGAGCCGCTCAATGACAATAAACTACAGGTACTGAAGGAAAGTTCAAACGGGTAGAGCTCGTGGGAAGCTTTGAGTACGGAAGAACTCACCCGGTATGATTCCTTTCCAGGTACAATGGTTCCATGACGGTCGTCCACTGAAGACTGGCTCTCGAGTGAAGACCATCAACGATTTCGGCTTTGTGGTCCTCGAGATCAGCCCCGTCTATCCAGAAGACAGTGGCGAATATTCATGCCGCGCCATGAACCTGGTAAGCTTGGAAGAACGGAGCTTTTTTTCCTGTGGTGCTTTCCCAACGAAATGTGAGCCTTCTTAGGTGGGCGAAGCTGTGACCAGCACTCGACTCACGTGCAATCCCATAGAAAGAATTATACGCGAATCACAACTACCAGGCAAAATGGCAGAAGGAGCTCAAGCAAGAATTGGTGAGATCGAGGCACCACGGCCAGCTCCTGAAGAGAGACCTGATGTCGACTACGGACCACCTAAATTCACCACACCGCTCGCGGTAAGATGACAATTTTTCCAGTCATTTGCCCGTCTCATGGTCCCTTATTCAGTCTCCACCTGAACTTCTCGAAGGTCAAATGGCTCATCTCGAGGCGCAAGTCACTCCAGTTTTGGATCCAACGTTGAAGATCGAATGGTTCCACGACGGCAAACCAATGACGCATTCAAACAGAATGAAGGTACTGTAATTCGTTATAGTAACCTGTTTCAGGCAGTAAATTCTAAACTTCAGATGATTCACGACTTCGGATTCGTTGTACTCGAGCTTTCTCCATCGGAGCCACAAGATACCGGCAAATGGACCTGCCGAG